CACACACACACACACACACACACACACACACACACACACACACACACACACACACTACTACTACTACTACTACTACTTTGCTGTCACTCGGAATCGAGTATGACGATCAACCAGTTATGATACAATGATAGGAGTTATTAGGGATGTCACCTCGGTTAGTGAGTTTTGAGGTGACTAAAGAGGCCGATACGGGACCGGCAGGGTCATCCACATTCGTTGTACATGTAGAGGGCTGCATCTAGTGCGGGAGGGGCGGTGGCAGCGACTTTCCGGCGTTGGCGCTTGTCTGCCTCGGTTTGCTGTCGGGCTAACTCGAAAGTATTGACACTTTCTCTTTTGGTTCTCCTCCAAGTGTTACGGTGTGGAGTGATCGTCTCCCAGGTGAGGGGGTCGATCTGGCACTTTTTCAGGTTTGTCTTAAGACTATCCTTAAACCTTTTCAATTGACCGCCGGCGTTACGTTTACTATTCGTTAGGTGACTGTAAATCAGTTACTTTGGCAGTCTACATCACTGTCGTCCATGCGGGTAACATGGCCAGTCCAGCGTAGTTGTTCATGGATAATGGTAGCCTCGATGCTCCTACAGTTGGTGTGAGCAAGAATACTGGCATTTGTTTTCTTGTCTTCCCAGCAAACTCGGAGGATGAAACGTAGACTACGTTGGTGAAAGTTTTCAAGTGCTTTGAGGTGCCTCCTGTATGTGACCCATGTCTCACTGCCATATCGCAGGGTGGGGAGGACCACTGCTCGATATACATGCAACTTTGTAGACAATTTCAGCTCCCTACAGCTGAAGACACGGGTACAGAGTCTGCCAAAGACTTGAGATGCACATCTGATCCGGTGCTGAATCTTTTCATCGATGTCCGCAGTGGTGGACAGGTGGAAGCCGAGAAACTGAAAGTGGGTAACATTATAGAGGGTAGTACCGTTAAGCTGGATGGATGGTGCAGATGTGTCTGAACCTGGGGCAGGTTGAAAGAGAATCTTAGTCTTACGTACATTCACCTCAAGGCCGAAGTGCGTATACGCATCTGCATAGGTGTTTAGGAACTCCTGTAGGTCGTGTTCAGTGTGAGCAACAAGGGTGAGGTCGTCTGCATACTGAAGTTCAGTAACGGAAGCTGCCGACACCTTTGGTCTCGCCTGGAGTCGTCTTATGTTGAAAAGTCTCCCTTCACCAGGTACTCGACGTCCACCCCGCCGGCTAAATTGGCACTGGTACGAGTAAGGAAGGCAGCCAAGAAAATGGAAGAGAGAGTTGGTGCCAGTACACACCCTTGTTTAACCCCTGTTTGGATGGGGAAGAACTCTGACTGGGTGCCGTTGTGCAGGACACTGCCGTTCATGCCATCGTGGGGTTGCCTCACAATGGTGATGAATTTTGGTGGGCAGCCACAACGGTTGAGGGTCCACCAGAGGGCTTCCCTGTTGACCGAGTCGAAGGCCTTGGTTAGGTCGATGAAAGCCATGTACAGGTCACGACGCTGTTCTCTGCACTTTTCCTGTATCTGGCGGGCAGCAGAGATCATGTCAGTGGTGCCACGTGATGGTCTATAACCACAATGAGATTTTGGGAGGAAGTTTTCCGCCTCAGGAAGGAGTCTGTTTAGGAGGACTCGGGCGATAATCTTGCCAGCTACAAACAGCAGTGAGATTACGCGGTAGTTGCCACAGTCTGACCGGTCTCCCTTATTCTTATAAATACTGACACACACACACACACACACCGGGCACCCACGCCAGAGCTGAGGACTATCTACCACGCATTTATTCTCCCCAAACTAACGTGTGCATCACCAGCGTGGTCGTCTTCTCTCAACTCTACCCAACAACGTCAGCTAGAGAAGGTACAGAATAGGGCCTACAGAATAGGGCCTGCAGAATCATGCTCGGCGCAGACTACTTCGGCTACAACAACGCTCTCTCCACCCTGGAAATGCCATCCCTCAGGGAAGGGGGTAGTAGTGATGGGGTGAAGGGAAGGGGTAGTAGTGATGGGGGTGAAAGGAAGGGGGTAGTAGTGATGGGGGTGAAGGAAGGGGTAGAAAGATGGGAGGAAGGGAAGGGGTAGGTAGTGATGGGGGTGAAGGAAAGGGGTAGTAGTGATGGTGGGTGAAGGGAGGGGTAGTAGTGATGGGGGTGAAGGGAGGGACTGAGGGACCTGTGGTGATGGGAGGGCCTAAGGAAGAGGTGGTGATGGGGTGAAGAGAGGAAGAGGTAGAGAGGAAAGGGAAGAAGGGGAGAGAAGAGATAAAAGAAGATATTGAGAATGACATAAATATGGAGGATGAGTGGCTGGTGGAATGGGTGAGGGGAAGAGGAGGAAAGGGGGAGGGAGAAGAGGGAGAACTACGCAAGAGAAACCACTTACACCCTCCTCGTTCACTGTGTGTGTGTGTAAAAGCGTGTGTGTGTGTGTGTGTGTGTATGTGTGTGTGTGTGTGTGTGTGTGTGTGTGTGTGTGTGTGTGTGTGTGTGTGTGTGTGTGTATGTGTGTGTGTATGTGTGTGTGTGTGTATGTGTGTGTGTGTTTTGTTTATTCTTTCCTTAAAATACAACGTGAATCTTCCACCTCCCCTCCTCCTTCTTCTCCTCCTAAGCTAACCTAACCCATCCCCTCCATAGGAACCCAACTCTAGAACCGTAGGACCCAAGGACTCCGCCACACACGCCCTCTAGTCCTTTACGCCCCTCCTAAAGGACTTACCGCCGTAGGTGATAGTGTCGAGGCCCTCCAGTAGGACTCTCAACTCAGGGGTCATCCTCTCGCCCAGCTGTAGGATCAGAAGGATACATTTAGTAAAGAATGCATCAAAATAACTGAAGGACCCCTATAGCTGACGTAATAACAATGAACAACCAATAGGAGATGAATAAAAACCAGTAGATCACGACGTCACAAATTTGTACAACCATTAAGAGACAAGGATTTTTTATATATCCTGACGTCACTACTATAAGCCACCAATAAGATATAATCCATCATACCGTGACGTCACAACTACGAGCAACCAATAATATGGGTAGCAGGCAGCGGGAGATGGTAGGAGGGGGGGTGGAGGGAGGGAGGTAGGAGGAGAGAGAGGAGGAGGAGGGGGGAGGGAGAGAGAGGGGGGGGGGGGGAGAGAGAGAGAGAGAGAGAGAGCCTACCCTCTCTGTAGACTCCCATTTATTGAGTCAGAAATATCGGGAAGATTATGAATGGCAGCGGAGTCAGACAATTGGTGGGAGGGTGGTGGTGGGTGAGGGTGGTGGTGGGTGAGGGTGGTGGTGGGTGAGGGTGGTGGTGGGTGAGGGTGGGTGGTGGGTGAGGGTGGTGGTGGGTGAGTGTGGTGGTGGGGTGAGGGTGGTGGTGGGTGAGGGTGGTGGTGGGTGAGGTGGTGGTGGGTGAGGGTGGTGGTGGGTGTGAGGGTGGTGGTGGGGTGAGGGTGGTGGTGGGTGAGTGTGGTGGTGGGGTGAGGGTGGTGGTGGGTGAGGGTGGTGGTGGGTAGGGTGGTGGTGGGTGAGGGTGGGTGGTGGGTGAGGGCGGTGGTGGGGTGAGGGTGGTGGTGGGTGAGGGTGGTGGTGGGTGAGGGGGGTGGTGGGGGTGAGGGTGGTGGTGGGTGAGGGTGGTGGTGGGTGAGGGTGGTGGTGGTGAGGGTGGTGGTGGGTGAGGGTGGTGGTGGTGAGGGTGGTGGTGGGTGAGGGTGGTGGTGGGTGAGGGTGGTGGTGGGTGAGGGTGGTGGTGGGTGAGGGTGGTGGTGGGTGAGTGGTGGTGGTGGTGGGTGAGGGTGGTGGTGGGTGAGGGTGGTGGTGGTGGGTGAGGGCGGTGGTGGGTGAGGGTGGTGGTGGGTGAGGGTGGTGGTGGGTGAGGGTGGTGGTGGGTGAGGGTGGTGGTGGGTGAGGGCAATTTCCTGCCTTGATAGAATCCCTTGTACTCTACTAGTGCATAAAGATGAGGCAGAGAGGGTAAGGGAGGAGGGAGGGAAGGGGGAAGGGGAAGGAAGGAGGGAGGGAGGAGGGAGGGAAGGAGGAGGGAGGGAGGAGGGAAAAGAGAGGGAGGACCGTGTCACTTACTTATATATCAGTACACACACACACACACACACACACACACACACACACACAAGTTAGGATAATCTATTCAATCTCCAGACAGTCAGACACAGCATGCACCCACCCCCTCCTTCCTCTCACTCTCCCTGATCAATACTAATGTAATAATTATCTTACTTTCTTACATCTCTCTTCCTCAGACATTCAAATTTGTTTACCCTCCTCCACCCCCTCCCTAATGTAATCAGTGACTCACCTAATGTAATCAGTGACTCACCTAATGTAATCAGTGACTCACCTAATGTAATCAGTGACTCATATATAATGTAATCAGTGACTCACCTAATGTAATCAGTGACTCACCTGTATAAGTAGTGCGATGCCAACTACACCGTACACCTGACCCGAAGCTTGACTGAAGTTTCTGTAGAGCTGAGAGTTGTACCCGTAGAGCTGAAGCTGTAGGGAGAGGGAAGCTTAGTATAATGTTATGGGGAGAGGGAAGCTTAGTAAGATGTTGTGGGGAGAGGGAAGCTTAGTAAGATGTTATGGGAAAGGGAAGCTTAGTATATTTCTATATGAGGGAAGCTTAGTATAATGTTGTGTGGAGAGGGAAGCTTAATAAGATGTTATGGGGAGAGGGAAGCTTAGTATAATGTTATGGGAGGGAAGCTTAGTATAATGTTATGGGAGAGGGCTTAGCAAGATGTTATGGGAGAGGGAAGCTTAGTATATTTCTATATGAGGGAAGCTTAGTATATTATATAATGTTGTGTGGAGAGGGAAGCTTAGTAAGATGTTATGGGGAGAGGGAAGCTTAGTATATTTCTATATGAGGGAAGCTTAGTATAATGTTGTGTGGAGAGGAAGCTTAGTATATTTCTATATGAGGGAAGCTTAATAAGATGTTATGGGGAGAGGGAAGCTTAGTATATTTCTATATGAGGGAGCTTAGTATAAATATAGCCTCCATTTATCTCCCTCCCTCCCTTCCCTCCAATCTCCCCCCTTCTCCTCCCTCTCTTCCCTCCTTTCATTCCCTCCCTTCCTTATTTCCTCCCCCCACACTCCCTCTTCCCTCCCCCCACACACCCCCTCTTTCCCTCCTCCCCCGTCACCCACCGTAAATGTCGTCGATTCTGTATTAGTAATATCTATAAAAAATAATGTTTATATCGTTGATTAAATCCTCTAAAAAAAACATTATATTATTCTTAATGTTTAGTTCAAAATGATTCGCTTAATTAGCTGAAAGTATTGTAACAGCTGTTGATACTTAACGATACATTAGAAAACAAAACATTATTTTTGTCTGTCAATTATTTTTTTCCGTTTCGATTTTTTTTTGCATTTTTCTGATTTTTTCAATTTTTTTCAATTCTGAGTTTCATTATTGTTATTATTTTCTGTCTATTAATGTTCAACGGCATTATATTCCAGGGATTCATAATGTATATTTCACCATGTATAATGTATACTTCACCATGTATAATGTATACTTCACCATGTATAATGTATACTTTACCATGTATAATGTATACTTCACCATGTATAATGTATACTTTACCATGTATAATGTATACTTCACCATGTATAATGTATACTTTACCATGTATAATGTATACTTTACCATGTATAATGTATACTTCACCATGTATAATGTATACTTTACCATGTATAATGTATACTTTACCATGTATAATGTATACCTTATTCACGGGCGCTTTTTACGTTTTGTTATGATACATTAAAATAAATAATTCAAACAATTATATATATTATATCTGGTTTATATAGTTGATCAGGTAAGGTTAAGATGATAGTGGGGCAATGTTGAGTGGTGTTTATATACTGAAACTACGAGTAAATGTTTATTATTATTATTATTATTATTATTATTTATTATTATTATTATTATTATTATTATTATTATTATTATTATTAATATTATTTTATTTTTTTTTATCTTAATATTGTTGAGGTCACAGTGACTCATCTCTACATCAGCACCTCCCTCCCTCACTCCCCCTCCCTCCCCCACCTCCCTCCCTTTCCCTCCTCCCCATTACAGATCCTAATTTACATACAGACAAACCTCATCTCATTATTAGTCACTTTCCTCCTACAGTAGTCTCTTTCCTCCTGCAGTAGAGGGGATGTTGGTTTGAGGGAGGGAGTCGTTCCTGATGGCCTCACTTGCCAATAGAGGGTGGAAAAAATAATTATGGAAACTGTCAGAGTAATGTGTAGTGAAGAGGAAGACAGGTGTTGTGTACAGGTAGGTGAGAGCTACCTGTAGTAGTAGTAGTAGGGAGGGGGGAGGGGGTTATAGGAGGCTTCCTCGTCTCCCTGTGAAGCACACAAGAGGCGTTTTAAAAGCTCTTATCACATTATTCTCCAGGAAATTAAAATGTATTTATCAGAGGGAACTTTGTGTGTGTGTGTGTGTGTGTTTGTGTGTGTAGTCACCCCCAGTTGGGTGATTGTTGACTAAGTTGAACCAGAAGACTCACCAACATTTGCCGAGTTGTACCAGACTAACACTCAGCCCGGCCACCACACACCCGAGGTACTTGTCGTCTACTGACTACAAGGTGCTTCCGTCTGTCTGCCTGACTGTCTATGTTTCTCTGTCTGTCTCTGTCGTAAACCCTTGGTATAGGGTTTCTGTCTGTGCCTGTCTGTCTCTGTCCAGAACTTACTACGAGGTGCTCTCTCTCTCTCTCTCTCTCTCTCTCTCTCTCTCTCTCTCTCTCTCTCTCCCTCTCTCCCTCTCTCGTAGCTGTGGTGGCAAGTAAGCGACACTGTCAACAGAGTCAAACTTAGGCTGATTTAGTCACTGTTTCTAATATCTGGCAGCACAATGTTGATGTTAAAGAGGTGGGCAACAGTGAGTCCCTACTGTGTGTGTGTACCATTCTTAACTATCATCACTTACAGTAACTTAGTCTAGGAGATGTAAACAGAGAAACCTGATACCAGATGATCAACGTTGTTATACAGAAATTCGACGGTGAGAAAGATTTAGGAGTAATGATAAGTAGGAACCTTAAGCCAAGTAAACAATGTGTATTTGCTCAAAACAAGGTTAATAAAGTACTTGAGTTCATACAAAGGAGTGTTAGTTACAAGACTAGAGAGGTCATCCTAAAACTATATCTTGCGCTTGTGAGACCTCAGTAGGATTGCACAGTTCAGTTCTGGTCACCGTACTACAGAATGGATATAGAATCTCTAGAAAGAATTCAGTGAAGAATAACAAGACCAATCCCGGGCATTAGGAACCTTGAGTACAGAGACAGGTTAAAGCATCTTAATCTGCACTCCCTCGAGAGACGTAGAGTGAGGGGCGATATGATAGAGGTGTATAAATGGAAGTCAGGGCTAAACAAAGGGGACATTACAAAGGTACTTAAACTATTCAACCAGGAGCGAACTCGTAACAATGGTTTTAAATTAGAGAAATTTAGATTTAGGCACGAAATAGGTAAACACTGGTTTGGAAATAGAGTAGTGGATGAATGGAACAAGTTACCAAACATCATCATTAACTCTAATACGCTGGATAGCTTCAAACACAGGTTGGATGGATATATGAGCGATAGGGGTTGGGTGTAAACGGGACTGCCCAGTATGGCCCGCAGCAGTTTCCTCCATTCTTATGTTCTTATGTTATGTTTAACAGTGTCATTGTTGACGTATAATTACCACCACCACCACCGCAGCCACCTCCTCCACCCCCACCGCAGCCACCTCCTCCACCACCACCGCCGCCATCTCCTCCACCACCACCGCCGCCACCGCCACCACCACCGCCACCACCATCCATCGTATACAAAATATTAATACGCCACACACGTTCAATTTGCCTACAGCTGCCCAGGAACATGACGGACCTTTAACGAAGACAGACTGACTGGCTGGTATTTTTGTGGTCCACATTTACATTATGTATGAGTTAGTGACGCTTCCCTCGTAATGCACAACATGTTCATCGTTAATTCAATTGACTTCCAATAATGCGTTTCAGCGAATTACCAAATAAATGTCACGCTCATTTACCCACAACCCTAGAATTTTTTTTTTCCCGCCGTCTAACTTTGGTCATGATTTTGTTCTTGTTTTTCCCGCCAAAATGTGATGGGTTTATATTTTTCCCGCCAAAATGTGATGGGTTTATATTTTTCCCGCCAAAATGTGATGGGTTTATATTTTTCCCGCCAAAATGTGATGGGTTTATACTTTTCCCGCCAAAATGTGATGGGTTTATATTTTTCCCGCCAAAATGTGATGGGTTTATATTTTTCCCGCCAAAATGTGATGGGTTTATATTTTTCCCGCCAAAATATGATGGGTTTATACTTTTCCCGCCAAATGAATAATATACTTTTGAGTTTTTTCCCCCAAATGAAAAACACAAAGAGACGATAAAGAAAATTGACACGACAGACAGTAGACAGACAGACAGGCAACAGGCAGCATAGATAGACAACAGGTAGCACAGACAGACACAGACAGTCAGACAACAGAGACAGACAACAGACAGACAGACAGACAGACCCTCAATACACTACCATGAGTGACATAACACATCACCAGGCCACAATAAGTTCAGACGGTCTCAGTTGCCACCCAGACTATATTATATATTTCTGTTTTGTGTTGAGTTGTGTCGTGTTGAGTTGTGTTGAGTTGTTTGTGTTTGTGTTTGTTTTGTGTTTGTATTCTGTTGTGTTGTTTGTGTTGTGTTGTGTTGTTTGTGTTGTGTTGTGTTGTGTTGTGCTGTGTTGTGTTGTGTTGTGCTGTGTCGTGTTGTGTTGTGGTTGTGTTGTGTTGTGTTGTGTTGTGTCGTGTTGTGTTGTGGTTGTGTTAGTTGTGTTGTGTTGTGTCGTGTTGAGTTGTGTTGAGTTGTTTGTGTTTGTGTTTGTTTTGTGTTTGTATTCTGTTGTGTTGTTTGTGTTGTGCTGTTTGTGTCTTGTGTTGCGGCTTGTTTTGTGTTGTGCTTTCTGTGTTGTGGGTTGTGTGTCGTGTTGTGTCGTGCTGTGTTGTGTTGTGCTGTGTTGAGGTTGTGTTGTGTTTGTGTTGTGTTGTGCTGTGTTGTGTTGTGTTGGTACGTGTTTGTGTCGTGTTGTGTTGTGGTTGTGTTGTGTTTGTGTTGAGTTTGTGCTGTGTTTAGGAGTTTAAGAGAGAGAGAGAGAGAGAGAGAGAGAGAGAGAGAGAGAGACAAAAAAACAGAATAATTTATTAAAGACTAAAAGTAATAAAAAATCTTAAAGTACAAATTATTCTGGCAATTTGCATAAGGAAGGAATAATTAGCTCATAACACCTGTCCCGTGCATCAAGGTGAGTTATAGTGAGGAGTAATTTAATCTCCGGGGATAATCAATTTCCAGGTATGAGAATATTACACAACTACGGCTCTCTCTCTCTCTCTCTCTCTCTCTCTCTCTCACAACA